TTCCATCACAAAATATCCATTCTGAATTCACTGACCAAGCAAAAGTAGATCATTCGGTGTAGATGTTGACATTTGGCCCAATGAATCCCACCTTAAGTGAGACTTCTTAGGTGCAGAGCCTGGCAGTTGCACAATGTTTTAGAAGCAGAGAGAAATGCTACATCTTTTCCTGAAGAACTAGTCTTCCAGCTGAGCGAGGCAATCAAAATAGCAAGGACCATGCAGCAGATGATTGGGTACAGATGATTTCAGAACAGAACTGAATTTTGGACAGGAGTGTTTGGATGTGTTGGATGGGAAATGAAATCTGGGTCCATTCTTCTAAGGAGTACATAGACAGGAGGAAAGACTAAAATGAGAGAAAGAAAGAAGATTAAGAATATAAGAAATGAGTGAGGGCAGTTTGGGGAGGGTGTCTATAAATCTTTCTCATCTCCTGCTCTGTTACAAGCAGACCCAATTTTAGGAATACCCGATGGTGCCCTCCTTCCTCATGCCACCTCTTCCCACAGGCAGCCTATGTTGTCACGGTGTTGCCCCTGCCCACATCCCTGAGGAGAGATCCTGGCCTCCAACAGCACCCAAGGTGAAGGGGCTGGAGGGAAGGACTGCACGGAGAGATGTGAAGAAACTATTCAGCTCTGTTTGGATGGGAGGGGTTTGTACCCTACTGAAATCTAGAAAAACAAGTGGAAATCATAGCCATAAGTTTTGAATAAATAGAATAAATATTTAAAAAAAAAAACCAAAACAGTTCTGCAGTTCTAAGGAGAAAATAATATTTGATTAAAAGACAAAACATGTATGGGGTAACTTTTTCATTTCCTGTTCATGATGAAGGTATTACTGACATTATTTAAGCTGTGTTGAAGACATATAATGAGAGTCTAAGCAGATATAAATGTTCTTTTGGAATGTTATTTATAGTTCCTTGGTACCCAATGCCAAACGTTAATAAGGTTTATGAGAAACCAGTGGAGACTGTAAATTGTTAGACTTCTAATTTAAATCATGTTGCTGACTCCATTTGTTTCCTACACATTGATCTGACATTCAGATAAATCTGATAAAATTCTCCAAGTTGGAGAGAGATTTGTTTTCTGTCAGTGGGAATCTAACTATTAGAAAGACAAGGAGTGAGGTTATTGGGAACAAAGCCACAGGCAGTAATATACCATACTCAAATACTTCTTTTCTATTTATTTAAATGTTACAGTATTTGATAAATTGCTTATGCAGCCATTTAACTGACTCTTCTGGAAAGTGTTTATTTGCAGTCACCTCAATGTCAGCAGTGAAATGAGCTGGGACTGAAATTTCATTAAGAAAGTCATATTTCATTATTATGGCCCCAGCGATCATCACTCTGTATACATTAAGCACAAAACCTATAGAATGTTTAAATAATAATACAGCTATGGCAAAAAATGGGCATGAGCCAGACAGGATATTCACTGTTAACGCACTGGCCATACCAACAGCCTGGGCTCTTATGGGACAAATAGCTGAAGGAGTATGTGGGTCTTAAACTTTGAATTTCCTTTGATTTGCCCATTTCAAATGGCAGCCTTAATTTCCTTCAGTGCAAAGAAAACCTCAAGGTACCTGCTCTGTGCCAGATTGAGCCCTCCTGCTGGAAAACCTGAAGGAGAAGGCCAAAAAGGGAGGGAAAAGTTACAAGGATCCTCGTTAGGATGTCTCCTCCGAATGTTTCTCTTGGGACAGAGGTGATTTCCCTCCTGTTAAAAGCAAGGTTACAGAGGTGGGTCAGTCCCCCATCTCTGGACAACCACAGGGGCCAGGCCATGGGCTGATGCCCTCCTGCTTTTGAAACTGCCACCATTTTAGAGCAGCTAAATTCAGCCTTTTCCCAAATTGCACTGTAATGTGTGTCTACAAACCCAGCTTGCCCCAGCTCAGCTAAATCAGCTTAGGCATTTTCTTCTCCCAGACTACGTCTAAGTCTATGTTGTAAGGGTTTGGTATTCCTATGGAGGGACATGATTCCGAGCCTATGAAGCCAACAGAGGAGAGGGATGGACAGACAAATGGGCAGGCAGGGTGGCAGCAGCTGTGCTGGACCAAAGCAGGTGAGAGTCCACAGCACAAAGCTCAAGGCAGGGTAAGGCCCAATTAGGAGGGATATTTTGCCCAGGGATAGTCTTACACCTTAATTTTTCTTCCCATCACATACCTTATCACCTAAGTGGTCTGGTGTACCCCAAATGTCATGCACTGACTCAGAAGCCAGCTGCAATATTTGCATCTGTCTGTGTTTCATAACTCAGTAACTATGGGTTTAGAAGCCTCATTTTGAGGAAACAATATCTGGAAATAACAAATTGGGACACGGGACGCTTTTATGGCTCCTTATGCCTTACAGAGATTAATGATACGTGGAGTTTTATTCCTATTTTCTGTCAGTCAGAAAAGTCCTCAAGGAAAATAGTAACACAGAAATGTACACAATTTAGATATAGCAAATAAAACAAGCCATAGAAGGTAGGGTTATATTAGGAGTTTTGTTTGTGCCTTCGAATATACCAAGATGAAACAAATGAAAATCAGAATATCGCAGGAAAATGGGACCAAAGGGGACTTTGAAAGACAAGCAGCTCTTGGACAGCTTATCTACACTTTCCCTCCCAACAGTGTGATTCAAACCCTGCAGAAGTCGGTGTGTCTCATAGGCTTTGGTGGCTTTAGCTCAGCTCCTCAGTGTTTTACAGTCCCTTTGGAGCAAGAGAAATCTAGCTTGCCTCTTCCCAATCACCAAATAAAGTTTCCAAAATGTCACCTATGCCTTGCTGACTACAGTCTTTTCTTTTTTAATTGTACACGTGTATCCCTGAGAAACCTCATTCCAAGTTCAGGATAAACTCATGTTTCCTCTGCTTGCCAGAAGAAAATGAAAAGTAAAGCCCCATCAATTTTATTGCTCATAATTGTGGATAAAATGCAATATATTTGGCTCATATAAATTTGCTAGCAAATTATATTCAATAAAACCCTGGTGAGCAATTTAAAAGCATAAATCCCCCCATGCTGAAAAAAATCTCATAAATTATACAAGAAAAAGGAGTGATTTCATCAAAGAGCCAAGCTCTGCCCATGGAATGTTTCAATAGTACTGGATTTATAGTTTTCTGGGAGACGATTTATGATCCCTAATTTTCTGCAATAAAAAGCTCAGCAGGGATTCTCTGAATGAAATATCTTTTAACAAAGAAATAAATAAAAAAAAATCCATCTGAGAGTGAATGCAGACAATGCCATTCTTGGAGAGCTGCCCCTTTCGTGCTCCTGTTCCAAAATTAATCATGGAAGACCCTAATAAAGATTACATAGTGAGAAAGGAAGACCATTAGACTTTGAAATAAATGCATTGCACAGTTGGAGAGGGCATTTTTAGTAATAAATTCACCTGTGATACTTCATAGCCATTGTCTTTGAATAAGAATAAAATGATCAGGCTGGTTTAAAGGAAAGGTTAAACATTTCCAAAACACACAGGGATGATTACACTATATAAATAACCTAGAGGGGGAGGTGGTGCGTGAAGCCTGTGCACAGACGTGACATGTAATCACAGCAAGATGCACAGGGAGATTCACTCACTTCCCCTCATTTTAGGGCTCTAATCTGCAGTCCTTGCCAAATTTAGTGGCAGTGGCTGCAGAAGTTGCTGTTCCCACTGGCCATCAGTCATCAGGCAGCAGGGACCATGACTCAGAGCATGTATCTGTCACAGGTCACAGACCAGGGCACTAAGGTGAAGCAAGAATGAAAAGATTTAGGTTAATATGCCAGGCTGTGAATTATGACAGCTGAGGAGGCGACTTAGTGTTTCTTTGACTGCTAAAGGGGTGGGATAGAAAAAAAAATCTTCAATCATCTTTTAAAGACTCCCATATAAATCACGAAGGTTGTGACCATGATCTCCTGCTTTGAGAATCTCCTACTGGGTGGTAGGAGAGAGACAATAATGGGCTGGGTGGACATTTGCTGTAGTACACCACGGTTGTTTCTCAAGATGTTATTATTCCCATTTTATTGATAAGAAGCTGAGGTATGTAAAGATGTAAAGACCCACGTGAATGATCAGAGAAGCAGATCAAGAATACTGGGATCTGAGCACATTACCCTGCACGTCAGGTTGAGGACTGTCCTCCCTCTCTACCATACTGATCATCCATAGGCAGTCCATGACCGTAGTACACAGGCATAGGGATAGCTGCCAGGATAAGTGGGAGCAGTGACAGTACCTACTGCTGAGTACCTACATCACCGGGGTCAGCAGCAAATACTCAAAATCTCTTGCTGTCCCTCCAGGCTTCCAGACTTTGAAAAGCAGAAAAAGGGTGAAGGTGCAGTTCAATTACATTTCTCATTTCTATCCATTGGATTTTCGCTGTTTATTTCTCCTGTGTGAGGGCTCCAATCTAGGCCCCCAAGCTTTCAACTTCCATGGCAAAAAATAGCCACAGGCAGTTAGGGGCTGATCCAATGCCCACGCAAGCCTGTAGATGAAAGGACTCTATTGCCTGTTATAAGTATTAGATTGAGCCCTTGCCTAAACCCATATAATGCAAATGAAAAGAAAAAAGCTCAAAAACATTTTGTTTTGACAGCAAACAATGGGTAGAAAAGGTCGATGAAGATATTTGACTGACCAGTCTTTTTCTCATCAAGTTTTATTATGAAATAGAACAAGAACTGCTGAAAATAACCTTGGTTCAACTAACTCTTTCTTATATAGCACAGCAGACTCAGTTGACAGAGCTTCAGGAAAGAAGGGCAAGAAAACTGCAGCAAGGAGGAAGATTTTTCAATAAATTAATTTAAACTCACATTGCAGCTCTGGAAGACTACCAGCTAAGAGTGCTGAGGCAGAACAGCTGGCTGAAAGGAAGGAAGTGTGTCTTTGGAAAGGTAATTTGTAAGTATTAAGCATGCAAGATTTGCTATCTATCATCTATCCCTGCTCCAAAACACTTTACGAGCACCGGGCATTTTGCCCATGTCTGACCGGCAGGACCTGGGAGTACTTCCTAGCTCCTCTGTGTAGGTATTCACGCCAGCTACATCCAGTGCCATGTCGGGAGCAGACCCAGCTCCATCCCATGGAGTGGAAACCCCAACTTATGGCTCAGGAGGTAACTGCAAAGTGCCCCTGCCTCTCCCTTGACCTGGACAGAGAGTATGTGCCCCGGGGCTAACTTACCCCGTACTGTTACAACATTTGTGGCTGAAGCAGACCAGGAGAAAGCATTCATCAACACTTCATTCATTGCTCCCCTAGAAAAAAAAAAAAACACAGTGCAGCTTGATCATTCACAGCTCTTACAAAGTTGGAGGGTTTTTTGTTTTGTTTTT